ATGTGTAGAGATAGAGACGGAGAGGGAGAGGGGTAAATTAATATGTAAAAATGTGTTTGTGAGAGAGAGAGAGAGAGAGAGAGAGTATGTGTGTGTGTGTGTTTGTGCGTGCGTGCGTGCGTCCGTGCGTGCGTGTGTGAACCTAACTGGCCGGCTGAATTGAATGTGATACTCAAAAGCTATTCTTTTGTTACCTCTAAAATGGATTAATAGTAAATGGTTAATGCATTAAACAAATAAATGTGCTAGACATCAAAGGCCATATACCACTATGGTAAGTTATTGTGGTTTTAATGAGTTCTTTATTAGATCAAAATGTCTTAGATGTCAACAGTCTCAATGGATTTTTACATATGTAATTGTTATCACTATTATAATCAATTAAATACGGTCTTGTTTTGTTCTAAATCATTTCCCCCCATACCATTTCTATACATTTTTTGCCTTTTATCTTATTATCAGTATCATCAATATTCGGGCAAGATTTAAAATAAAAATGGAAATGTAACCTAAGGAAACGGGTTTAGGAGTATAGACAGTAAGTATAGCGGCGACTTTTACCTGAATATCGCAAATATAAAAAAAAAATGGAAAATTCTTTATTTCCGTACCTGAAAAGCTGATGAATTATCCGTTTGTTTGTCTTTTATGAACAATTCTGAAAACCAGCGAGGTATTACAGCTTTCACCTCCGGTTTACAAACAGGGTGTAACGTTTAGCTTGTTGATCGATGGAGCAAAGTAAAGTAGTCAATTATTGGTATGCAAAGTAATTGAATTGATTATCTTTCAGAGGAATACTTTTCATATGATATGCTGTATAATGTTCTTACTTTATGCGTGCCTTTTTTCAAGAAACTATTGAACTAATAATCAGCCCATATAAAGAAATAGTAATAATGTTATGAAATGATTGCATAATTTCTTGCTTCATGATGCATGCATTGATGTGTTTGCTTCATTACCATTGCATAGCTGTGTGTGCTTGTTATTTTGGTTAGGTTTTCATACACGTGTAAGCATTATATGAGTATTCAATTAATCATACGTCTATACACTCTAAAAGATATAAAAAAGGGTGTGGCCGTACACTTTATAAAACCGTATTGTATTTATTGATCTTGTATTCTCTACAGTCTAAGTGTACCTGATTTTTTATCCAAAACTGTAATTGATATGTGCACTCACTATGTCCATTTTTTTTTCTTTTTTTTTTGCAACAACGACACTATTGTTACCCAGAATGATATTAATTGACTTTCGATTTTCCTTGAAAGGGTTACGCCCAGAAGACTCTTGCATGGAGAATATTGACACTGGGTTAGACGTGCTTAAAACGCTGTGGGTCGCGATCATAGACCTTTCCCTCTGTTTTCACTAGTGTAAGTTTTCTTTTTGCTTCCATAGTTTTTTATCATAATTTTCTGATCTTAGGAATGTTAGCTCGCGGAAATTATCCCCATATTAACGCCATTTTGTTGATTTTGTCGTAATAGTTCAATCTAATCAAACTAAGTTTGTTCCAGTTTTAACTAGAAAACATAAACACCTTGAATCCTTATATACCATACGTTAACCTATTTTCTTCGCCCTATTTCAGATGTAAACAAAATACTGGGAAATGGCGTTGAAGTTTATTGCAATGATATGCCTAATAAACACCGCAGTTTCAACCATGTTTCAAACTACAGGTAATGTTAATATCATATGATAGTCTACGTGTCTACAGTTCTCAGACCAGTTACATACTGGTCTGAGAACACCTCTAGATGTACATGATGTAGTTTAATATAATGATGTTGTGAATACTATTAATGATGTCATAAATATTGATTAATCATATCATGGAGTAACAAATAGAATTTTAAATATATATATATGTATATATATATATATATATATATATATATATATATATATGTGTGTGTGTGTGTGTGTGTGTGTGTGTGTGTGTGTGTGTGTGTGTGTGTGTGTGTGTGTGTGTGTGTGTGTGTGTACTATTAAGATTATGATAAATACTAATTATATGTAATGAGAGATTACAGATATAAGTTGATAGTGTGATTACATATAATCATAATAATGATAATGATCTTTATAATGCTAGTAATTATAATTATTAGTAGAAAAAAATAATGGTAATAATGATACTTAAGAGCATCATTATTGAATTATTACTATTATCATTATTATTACTATTAATATCATGATTATAGTAGTAAAAATAATGACTGTAATAATGATAATAATAATCATTATTATCATAAAAATAATTACAGTAATAATATTAGAATTCGAAGAAGTAAGTGTAATAAATATGATAAGCATAGTACTGGTTACATTAATAATTCATTATCATTCAATAACCATGATCATTATCATCATTATCATTGCTATTAATTCGCTTTCGCTACTAACCATAGTTAACAATGGTAACAGTAACATATAAAATATAACAAACAGTTATGATGGATATGATATAGATATTCAGGGTGATGCGAGCTGGCCGAGAATTTAAAACCAAAATGTAAATAAAAAAGGTAAGGATTTCATTGATGATAAGATTTAGGAACCTACTACTGCTATTGCCAATGAAAGAATGATGTGGTGATAAGATAATAACTAATGTTCATTCTTTATTTCCAGTGTTAAAAGGCGAAATTATATTTGTAATAAATATCGATTTATTTATTCATCTATGAACTGTATATTTAAGTACCACATATCACACACACGCATTATGCATATGCATTACATAACCTAACTGTATTAACACAGAATCACTATTTTTTCTTCAAATATTCAATATTTTCTCTCTCGCCATCAACCGTTGAAGACGAGGGCCTCTTGTCAGCGGCTGCAGGAGTCGTGACCGACTTAGTGAAGGCTTCCTCGCGAGCTCAGGCGTCTCTCGTCCTCCTGACGGACGGAATGAGCTCTTCCAGCAGTGTCTCCAAGGTCAGGCTGACACACATACACACACATGCACGCACGCACACGCACGCGCACGCACGCCGCACGCACGCACGTCGCACGCAAGCACACACGCACGCACGCACGCACACACACACACACACACACACACACACACACACACACACACACACACACACACACACACACACACACACACACTCAAAAGGGGATTGCCAATGCTTTCACTTGATAATTCAATTGTTGCAGTGACTACGTCTGATTACTTTGAATCACTTCCCTAGATTGGTTGCAACTACCTAGGAATACTGATACATACATACATACATGTAATACATACATGCATACATATATATATATATATATATATATATATATATATATATATATATATATATATATATATATATATATATACACACACACATGTATGCACACATAAAACACATGTATGTACACACACACACACATATATATAGATAGATAGATAGATAGATAGATAGATATAGATATCGTGTGTGTGTGTTATGTATGAATCACAAGTGTGTTTACTGTTCTAGATCATATTAATATACACTCGCTTTCATGTTTTCTTATTTTTGTTGTTGTTTTTTTTCATTCATTTCTGCCATATATCGATTTGAATAAGACTCCTCTCCCGACCCTTAGCCCCGCCCCCTAAGAGCCGTAAAAATGTTGTGATGGATACAGATACCTACACTTACATTGCATATAAACACGTAATATAAGCATGTGACCCATGGGGGTAAGACTGCTCTCAAGGTCGAAAAAATATAGGTGTTGTCTTCCTGAAACCCATTAAGTCTGCGCAGCTCTTTTCTCACAATCACACTCTACTTTTCTGGTCGAAACTGGGTCGGGTGTACATCAGACTCTACTGCCTGATCACTTAAATAAGCCAGAGTGAATGGTTTAACTGCCTTAGAAGCTTACAGATGACTGGTTTGATTTGCCTGATTCCCGAATACTAGATAATCATAAATCGTCAAGGAATGTGTGTGTGTGTGTGTGTGTGTGTGTGTGTGTGTGTGTGTGTGTGTGTGTGTGTGTGTGTGTGTGTGTGTGTGTGCGTGCGTGGGTTAATTTGCCAGATTCCCGAATACTATATAACTATAAACAATAGTTATGCGTTTAGAACTAATAAAAAGCATGCTTCCATTTTCAGAAAGGACATATAATGATAATAAGTAAATTCGAGGGTTATTTAGTTTGGTTGAGAAGTATCACAACCATGACGTACTAAACCATTTTTCATGCTCTTCAACAAAAGAGGATATATATATATATATATATATATGAATATATACATATACATATGGCTAGGGTCATATAATCAAGCAATATTCATAAGAAATTATTTCTATCTCTTATTTCGTCATAAACCTAAGAAAATATTTGAAATTAAGAAATGGCACATAACATTACCAGATATTGTTTTAGTCGCATTCAGAAATAATTGCATAGTCATTCAATGTGAAATGCCTTAGCTTTATCCTACTTCATGCAGTTCCTTGAGTTCACCAATTATAAGTGAACAAATTGTAATATCGCCACAAATTATATTCCATGGGACTGAGGACTTGCAGTTCCACCAGTGTGTTGTAAAACGTGGTGACAGTCGATTATATAATTACAATCAACTTATATAACTATAATTATATAATTATAATTATGTTTGGGTGTATAATCATACACCCAAACATTATTATCATTTTCATTATTGTTATCATCAATACTGTTGTGTTATTATTTAGAAATGGCAATGAAATTATCATTATAATTACCATTACTCTCTTATCACTAGATTTTATCATCATCATCATTATTATCATTATCATTATTATTATTATTATCATTATTATTATTATTATCATTATCATTATTATTATTATTATCATTATCATTATCATTATTATTATTATTATCATTATCATTAACATTATCATTATCATTATTATTATTACTATTAGTTTAATCATCATCACCGTCATTAACATTAACATCATCATTATCATTAATATCACCATTCTTCTCCGATGCAAATT